CGCGCGGCGGAGGCACCAGCCGCTCCAGCCCGCGGTTCAGCAGCCGGAACGCCGCGAAGGAGCCGCCGACGAGCAGGAGCCCCGGGCTCAGCCCCATGGGGGCAGCAGCCGGGCTCGGTCCGCGGCGGGAGGCTAGTGCGGGCCCTAGACCGGGGTCGCCGCCGGGGCGCGCCTGGCTGCGGGGAGCGGCAGCTTCGAGCCTTGTGTAACTTTCTTGTAACCACCCAACAAACTCCCGGTCCCGCGGCCTCCCATTGGCCCGGAGCGGCTCCGCCCCTCCACGCGGCACGCAGGCCCCGCCCTAGGGTGTGCCCGGGCCGGGCCGGGCATCCCCGCTTGGGCACCGCCGGCTCTGGGCGCCGCGGGGCACGAGAGGGGCTCTCACGCCCGCCCTGAAACCGCCCGGCTGGCGCGTCCCCTTCCACTGTGCGGCTGCGGAGGGGATCCCGGCGCGGGGGCTGGTTGCTATGTCCAGGTGGCACCTAGGGAAGCTATATGGCATCTCCGCGATTCCCTGGGAGCCGGGCCAGAGCCCACGCTGGAATTATTACTCGTGTCTCTTCGGGCAGTGCCTAAGGACCGACCAAAAATGGGGCCTGTGGTGCTAGGCGCCAGTCCCTGCCCAGACACTGAGCCCCTTTGGTGAAGCGCCTGGTTCAGGGAGATTGAGAGTCTCCCATAGACACCGGTGTGGGGAAAGGGCTCTAACACATATACATGCACATTCTATTCACATTTGCAGTGTGGCCAACTCAGCACTTTATTATGAGACTCCTAATCTTTGGTCTTTTTCTTATAGCTCCAGTGCCTGCAGCCAAATGAGTCAATGAGAACTTAAACTTTCCCATACATACAGTGTGTTTCTAGCCCTCATGGTCATGGGGAAATACATTGAAAACATGACCTACAAAACCAACATTTATTAGTTTAGAAAACCTCACAAGTTTTAAGACAAGCTTATGATGTTTGGGGCCCTGGCTAATTTCCCCCCTCACATTTAGGGTTGGCAATACCATAGGGATTGGGAGGACCAGCCAGGGGCACAGTCAGGATCAGGACTCCATTGTAGCAGGTGGTCTACGAATGCCTAGACATGATTCCTGAAGAGCTTTATGAGCTAGGAAGAAAGAGAAACTAGCGATACTATCTGATGTTGAAGGACTCTTTAGCTATGTACGGTTACAATAAAGTATTTTCATTTCATCTGTCAGCCTGCTCCATTGGCCCTTACCACAGCTCTGTACTCATGTGCTTGTGAACAGGGGAAACATTCCATGGCTGGCAGCTTCCTCCATATATTACTGCCTTCTTTTAGTATATTAATAGAAATAGAAGGCACTTGTAACATTCCTCCAGGTTTGGCTAAACTCTGTTACATGCTGAAGTGAGAATTGGGGGTAAGTCACCTTTTCCAGAAAGAGACATCTGGGAAGATGTGACTAGATAGGGAAACTTTGTGGTATTCCAGCTATGGACTGAAGACCCTGGCACACGTCTGCCTGGAGTGCGCCAGGTTGCAGCCCCTTTTCCATCTCCTTCAGAACCTTCTCCTCTGGTTCTGGATGCACTTTTCCCCACACCTCCTGATTTATGCATGCCCTAGCCATGTGCTTGGAGTTGGAATAATAGTAAGTTGGTTCCATATGGAGAATTCCCATTCTTCCTTGTCCTAGTTAAGGACCCTTTTTCTTTCCTAACCATAACCAGTACTCCTCTTCCATCTCCAGTATCCAAGAGATGTAGCAAGCAGATCTGACATGTCTTCCTCACTGGAATGCCACAGTGTCTATCTACACGCAAACCGTATTGAGGGACTAATTTTACCGAAGTTGATAATAGCTTTGGGTCTGGAAGGCCCATGCCTTTTTCCTTGTGGGAAGTCACTGCTGCAGAATAATCACTGATACTTAAACGGACACATCCTGCAGTAAAATTGCTTCACATCTGGGATCATAGCCCAAGGGAAGAGCCCAACCTGGTTTTGTTGGCACTGTGAGAAATAACCTAGCACCTATATCCATCTCCTGGGCTTATATAGTCTGTGGGCCAGGATCATTAGTTAGAGCAGATGTGGAATTGGTCTTGGAACTCTTGAGACCAAAAGAAACGTGTACTTAAGGTTTTGCACATGACAGTGCACTTGCTCTCTCCATGGTAAAATTACTGATTGTTCACAAATGGAAAATATGGGTCCAGATCCTCTGGTCCAGCCAAGATGAGCTAAGTTTAGGACAGAAATAGGGGAGACCCAAAGACGACTTTAAAGTGGGTGCTAGTTTGGTCCCTGCTGTAAAGTAGAGCAGACTGAAGGTCTGCTGGAAGAGCAGATCAAGTGGGGTCCCGCAGGGATCGGTTCTGGGTCCGGTTCTGTTCAATATCTTCATCAATGATTTAGATAATGGCATAGAGAGGACACTTATAAAGTTTGTGGATGGTACCAAGCTGGGAGGGATTGCAAGTGCTTTGAAAGATAGGATTAAAATTCAAAATGATCTGGACAAACTGGAGAAATGGTCTGAAGTAAATAGGATGAAATTCAATAAGGACAAATGCAAAGTACTCCACTTAGGAAGGAATAATCAGCTGCACACATACAAAATGGGAAATGACTGCCTAGGAAGGAGTACTGAGGAAAGGGATCTGGGGGTCCTAGTGGATCACAAGCTAAATATGAGTCAACAGTGTAACGCTGTTGCAAAAAAAGCAAACATCATTCTGGGATGTATTAGCAGGAGTATTGTAAGCAAGACATGAGAAGCAATTCTTCCACTCTACTACGCTGTGATTAGGCCTCAACGGGAGTAACGGGAGTATTGTGTCCTGCTCTGGGCACCACATTTCAGGAAGAATGTGGACAAATTGGAGAAAGTCCACAGAAGAGCAACAAAAAATGATGAAAGGTCTAGAAAACATGACCTCTGAGGGAAGATTGAAAAAAATGGGGTTTGTTTAATCCGGAGAAGAGAAGACTGAGAGGGGACACGATAACAGTTTTCAAGTACATAAAAGGTTGTTACAAGGAGAAGGGAGAAAAATTGTTTTTAACCTCTGAGGATACGACAAGAAGCAATGGGCTTCAATTTCAGCAATGGGAGGTTTAGGCTGGACATTAGGAAATACTTCCTGTCAGAGTAGTTAAGCACTGGAATAAATTGCCTAGGGAGGTGGTGGAATCTCCATCATTGGGAATTTTTAAGAGCAGGTTAGACAAACACCTGTCAGGGATGGTCTAGATAATACTTAGTCCTGCCATGAGTGCAGGGGACTGGACTAGATGACCTCTTGAGGTCCCTTCCAGTCCTATGATTCTATGCTCAGCTGCCCAGAGCCTCCAGATGCCAGCAGAGGATCAGATGGAGTCCGCAGTGTAGCTGACATACCTCCCTTTTTCCTGCTCATGCCCCTACACTGGTGAGTGGGAGATGTGATGGGGCATAGGTGGAAAGTAGTCCCTGGAGGGCCCAGTATCTGGGTTGTGGTTATCAGAAACATTCTGCTGGAAACTTTGGCTTTTGAAAGTTAAAGGCTTGGGGACACGTTGGCTCAGAAAGAGAGGCAAACAGTTTTCTATTCCCCCTCCCCAGCAGGTAACTGCTACACCAAAGTCAAAGTAGTGCACAGCCTGGCCTGCAGCTGGCATGGTGGGTGGGGTATGTGGCATGTTGGTGGCCAAACTCTCCCTCAGCTCTTCATTGAACACCAATCACCCGGAGCCAGGGGTCTCATCCAGTCAGAGGCAGCACTTTGTAGCTACTGCTTGCTTGTCAGATTGTCAGAGGTGCTGAACACCTGAGACTCTCACTACATTCAAGGGGAGCTCGCAGAGGCTCAGCACGTCTGGAAAATCAGACTGCATGGTTACAGGTGCCATACAAATACCTCAGATACCAACAGCTTGCCAAGCAAAGTCCTGAGTAATACAATATACTGTGCTGGGCCTTTGCAAAGGCTCAGAAAGAGGCTAACGTGACCCCAAGAGACGGAGAGAAAATGCATTTGTATAGTCTTGGTTTTGGAACTATTTTGCATATGATGAAATAGCAAGATTTTATACCATCCCCCTCCTCAGCTAGCTGATAAGCCTTTGTACTTCAGTTAGCACTTTTCAGCTCAAGTCAATTAATGTAATTAGCCACAGCAGCAGAATAATTATAGAAATTGGACTTGAACTCTCGCTCAGCCATTCCCCCACAACCTTCCCCCTCATTACCTATTAAAGCAATGTTTCAGAGTAGCAGCCATGTTAGTCTGTATCTGCAAAAAAAACAAAAGTACTTGTGGCACCTTAGAGACTAACAAATTTATTAGAGCATAAGCTTTCGTGGGCTACAGCCCACTTCTTCGGATGCAT